GATAGATAGATAGATAGATAGATAGATAGATAGATAGATAGATAGATAGATAGATAGATAGATAGAGATAGTGAGTCATTCAAAAGGTACTTCCTGGGAGCACAGTTCAATTTTTATTAGATGAAGGTGAGAGATGGGGGAGCGTGGTGCTATGGCTCTGCTCCTCTACAAAGAGAGCCTTGTTTTAGAGCTGGGTTTTTTCTAGATGCTCAGATGTGAATATCTGAAGGATCAGTAGGTTGAATGAACGCTCTGCAGTTGTTGGTCTCGTGTTTTGATGTGTGTGTGTGTGTGTGTGTGTGTGTGTGTGTAGCCCTACCCCAGAGTAGTGGAAGGGGTCGGTTGGGGGTGGAGACTGGGTAGGGTCTCCCTCATCTCCTCTTTTCTGATTGCAGGGAGAGATTGGCCCACCTGGTCCTCGAGGAGAAGATGGTCCTGAAGGCCCAAAGGGTCGTGGTGGTCCCAATGGTGATCCTGGTCCTCTGGGGCCTACTGGGGAAAAGGTTTGTGTTTAGAATGCTTAGCTATGCCTAGAGGGCTCTGAGTGCCAGGCGGCCCCTACCATGCTTGGCAGGGGTAGTGGGATTTCTGAATAGCCCATGTCACCATCCCCAACCTTTTGCCACTTCTCCCAGTATGTGTGTCTGTCTGTCTGTTTGTGTGTCTGTGTATGGATCCATTGGTCCTTTTCCTGTTCCCAGTTCCCCTTTTGAGCCCCATCACCATACCTTAGAGGAGTGTTTTCCTCCAGATATAAGCAAATATATCTTGGGGACTTTACCAGCCATATATCAATTACCCATCCCTATCAAGTCCTGCCTCCACTTTTGGGGTGACAGAATGTTCTCACACATGGCATGTGCATGAGATTCCAGTAGACGCCTGTCTCTAGACTGCCCCATATCAGCAGTACCCTCCTACACTTAGTCTCCAGTAACCTGGGGAGGAAGGGACACAAGGAGGACTTAAGCCTCCCACTCCATGCTGCCCTGGGCTAGAACTCTTACAGAGTGTTCAGAACCCCCACGGGTAAGAACATTCTTCTTCCTGGCCATGCTAGCCATCCCTTTGCTTGCTGGTGGTTTTCCCAGCATGCTGGTAGGATAGGCTTGCTTAGAGACCCGCTCAGTTCAGGGACAGGGGAGATCCAGTTGCCTCTGTACACTGACCCAACCCTTCCAGCCTGCCCTAGCCCCTCTCAGAATACACCAGTTGAAAAGTCATGTTTATGATTTATGAGTCTTTTTTTTTCTGCTCCTAGGGAAAGCTCGGAGTGCCAGGATTACCAGGGTACCCAGGAAGACAAGGACCAAAGGTAATTTAAGCCATGTTAAGAATGTCCTGGCAGGCACTGTCTCATGCGGCACCCCGCACACTCCAAACCCCCTCATCCGTTCTCCACCTCTGCGGGCCTTCTGTGCTTCAGTAGAACAATATGTTCGCTGTGATCTCGTAGTCCCCAGGCAGCCTGTGGTGTTAATTTGATCAAGCTCAAAGGAAGCGCTTGGACAGCGAGTTGAACCTTTCAGAGAAGGGGGCAGAAACTATCTCAGCCATGGGGCCAGCTTTGGGGCCTGGTGGCCTGCTGGGGTTGCATAGCCCCCTGGCTTACCCACACCAGCCTGCTCTTGGCCCCACTTTGCTTTGGAAGTTTGGGGACTGTTTATAACGGAGCAGGAGAGGGACAGCCATCGTCTTATCTGCAGTCATGTTCAGGCTTAAGTGGAACAGGTCCTAAAGGCTTTGGAAATCAGTGTGAACATTGTTTTCTTCTCATCCCACATTTTATTATTCATGGTTCCTCCTTAAACAATAACCGCTGCCTGCACTGGAGACCTGGTTAGCAGCACTCAGCCAGCCCGCCCCAGATTTGCATCCCTGCCCTTCTGCTGCCTGCTAGCTCCACTGGCTTTGATTCACAAGAGCTGGGGCCTGCCAACCAAAGGAGGAGGGCCTGTATGGGCAAGCGGTGGCCTGTCCTCCTGTCCGCTCTGTGTGGACACACATCCAGCCCACAGGATGTGTGTCCCTTAGATGTGACCCCAGTGTATCTGCCACTTGGAGTCGTCCACCCAAGTGTTGGGAAATCGGCTCCTGGGTACATTTTTCTTTCTCTTTTTAGGTGCTAGTCTCAGGAGGAGAGGAAAGGAGAGGAGACATCTGAGAGAGGGGAGGGTGGGATATGACTCTGTGCTGGAAGCTTTGGGGACACAAGAAAGCAGGATCAGAAACTTTGTCCTTGGGCTGTGACTAGACGCAGCAATGGGCTGTACAGTGGCCTCCCCAGGTCCCCTTGTTTCAGTCTCTTGCCTGGTAGCCAGGTGGACACAGAGAAGGACTGCAAGGCAAGGAATCTAAGACTTCCAGAATAGGAATGTGCTCAGGCCAGGATGCTAAGCCACCCAGAGGGCAGAGACTCACAAAAGGCCATAGACAACACCGGCATTGGTGTGCAGTGGGCTGCCCTGGGTATGTCCTGGGGAGCCCCCGTGGCATCTTTTTGTACATATAGGGAGTTCAGAAAGTCTTGAGAACCATATTTGGCCCGTGTGTACACCTGTGGAGTTGAAAATAGTTAAGTGTTACAGTCTGTGCCTGGATTTGGGTCCATTTCTGACCTTGGAAACTGTTATGCTGTAGTTAAGGCTTTATGTTATGAAACAGGTCATAGAGTGTGACAGCAGGGCCAGTGAACAGAGCTGTGATATGCAGCCCCTATTTCCAGGAAACTTCAGCAGCTCACCTTCTCCCATCCCCCAGATACCAGCTGGCAATGCGCAGTCCCTTTGTGGGGACTGAGGGGAACGGGGTGGAACATGTTAGGACTTAACTTTGGGTTTTGGGTTTGGAATCTAACGAATGCTCAGGAAATACTGTGTAGCAGATGAGTGTGGAATGGGAGGCAGGCAGGTGGCTAGGCAAATGGATAATAGGAGGTTGGAAGAATAGGTGAGTGGGTTTTCCGTGGGTGGGTGAGCAGGATGGCTAACCGGGTGGGCGGGGGGTTGGTGGGCATTGCATGGGCGGTTAAGTACAGAGATCTGGTCAGTGGGTAGAGAAGGATGTGAACAGTATCAGGAACTCACCCTAGTGGGCACAACAGCATGGCCCTTGTTCCTGACTTGGCGATCTTGTTTTACCTTTCCTTTACTGTCTTGCAGGGCTCTATCGGATTCCCTGGCTTCCCGGGTGCCAACGGAGAGAAGGGCGGCAGGGTAAGGACTGCAGTTTGCTCGACCGCCTTGGTGTGCAGGTGTTGGTTCCCCAGTCAATGCTCGGCTGATTTTTCCCCAGGCGTTATCAAAACTACGTGTTCAGAAGTGGTGGATCTTGAGCTCTAGGCCTTTCATTAACTTTTAGTTATGGAGGCACCATGATCAGAAGGGGCAGTGAACGGAAAGAGGCATGCTGGGAGAATGGGACTTTCTGATGGACGGGAGCCAGGAAACTCTTGGGGCTCCTCCAGATGATCCTCTTCTGAGAGACTTCCCTGCATCCTAACTTTACAGGGAAGGAAAAAAGGTCTTATTTTGTTCTCGTTGGTGTGATCTACCACACGGAGTGCATATCAACTTGGGGCTATGTGCAGTGACTCCCAGACCTATAGTCCCTGTTGGAAGTTACCCTGGTTGTAAATACAGGGCAGGCATGACACCATTGGGTTCCCTCTGTTGTCATTCTCACAAAGGTATCTTGAGGACCAACCTGGGGAACCATATCACCCCCACTCCACCTTCTGTGATGTCCTTGTTGGCTCAGGCCTTCCTTGTAGAAGCCCCACCCCCCGCCGGCCCCAGACATCTCTGGGTGGCGGCACAGAACTGGACACCTCCAGTTGGAAGATGAAGTGTGATGTCATCTTGGGCCTTGGATATGTAGAGAGGCCTTTGGTGGTAGGGACACAGAACAGACTGCTCCTTGCTACCTGCCCTCCACGCACACAGAGCTGAGGCTGGGGCTCTTCCTCTCAGGACATTGCTTCATCTGAATGTCATGTGTAAAACAGAGTTGATGTGCTCTTAAAAACCAGGAGAAATGATCTCAGGATATGAGACCATGTGAATAAGCCAGTGGTCTCCAGTCTCACAACTCAGAAAGCAGCAGTGTCCTGGGAAGGAGTGCACAGGGTGGAGGCTACCTACTGCCACCATCGCCTCTCACTCACACAGTCCTTTTATCGTCTTTCTGTATCTCTATGTATCGTCTCTTTTCTCCATCCATTGGTCCATCCAACCATCGGTCCATTCAACCATTGATCCAGCCATCCATCGATCAATCCATGCATCCATCAGTCCATCCATCCATTTGTCCATCCATCGATCAGTCTATCCATCAATCAGTCCATCCATCGATCAGTCCGTCCGTCCATCCATCCGTCCATCCATCCATCCAATCATCTATCTCTCTTCTCAGTCAATCTCTATCTAGAATCATCTGACTGATGTCTGTGGGAAGGTTTGTCCCCTGGAATATTCGGACATACTCCCTGTGAGGTCCAGGGTCTCATAGATGTGTAAGGTGCATCTGGAATAGGATGGAAAGCTCATGGATTGTTGCTTTGTCTACATGAGAGCTCAACCAAAAATTGTGGGTCCTTGAACCACTAGGAGTGGTTGGCTTTCCTAACGGGCCATGAAGATTGGAGGCTGGACTGGCCTTGCAAACAGCCTCTGGTGCAAAATCATCTCCTGAATTAACACCAACCCCAAGGTTAAGGTTGTGTTATCCTGTTGCTCCGCTGTGCTGTGGACCCCTGCGTCACGTGGGCTTCACAGAAGGCAATTCATTCGCTTGCACTGCACGCTTCCTAAGTCCTTGCTAAGCTCAGAGCTTACCAGGCAGGGGATGCTCCGGTGACTGAGCAAGATAAGAAGCCGCCAGTAACCAGTGCTCAAGGGTAATGAGCATGCGAGGAAGGATAAACCGAGCCCTTAGATCCAGGTACCACCAGGAGGCAAAGATGTTCCTGCGAAGACCAGAAAGGACTGGGGTGGGGAGAGGGGAACAGAACCACTTAGGGAAGCTGGTGTAGTTGAGCCCAGTGCACAGGCCTGGGCTGGTGGAGGCTGTGCCTCAGAGTAGGTCTGGATCCCAAGGCAGCCAGAGTTTAGTCATGGGGGTAACCCCGGGGAAAATTTTAAAGGTAGTCCTGGTCCCGTGTGACAGAGGATCGGAAGAGACTGAGGGTTGTGAAGGGGGCAGGTCTGTGCTGCACGCTGGAGACCTGCTCTGCTTGCCTGCCTCTCGTGCGGGATGCCATGCTGGGTTCATAGCACATGTATATTTACCACTCACCCATATACCTCGGTCCTCAGTTACCAGAGACCTGGCTTCTACAGAGCTGGTGGTTCATGCCTGTCTGACAGTGGGAGGTTAAATGGGAAGCCGTCAGAAGCGACACTGCCCAGCCAGCCAGCTGCAGCCCAAAGCAGAGCCATGATGCCAGCAGAACAGTATCTTAACATGAGACTGTATTCCGTCCCTTGGAGGGGTCCCAGGAGAGGAAGGCCCCCGTGAGGTCTCCCAGCAAATTCAAGCTCTTCATACTTCAGCTTGATATCATGTTCCAGAAGAGTTGTAGGCAAGACCCTTTCAGGGACCCCCTATTTTTTCCTGGCAGGGTCTAGAGGCCAGGTGCACCCGAACAATTAATTTGTGAGGGTGTCTGCTCAGTACCTCCACTCACCAGGTCAAGCTCTAGAGGCTTAGATTTATCACACACCCTGCTGGGTACCAAGCTACCCCAGGGCCCAGATGGAAGCTGGGCTGAAACCTGTTTGCCTGCTACCAAGGCTTGTGTGCCTAGATGCCCCAGGAATCATCACGGCAGGCTACACCCGGGAGCCAGCGATGCCGCAAGGTCAGATGGCATCGGAGTGTGATCCCAGGCAGTGCTAAAGGTGGGAGAGGGACAGCAGTGTTGGCAGCCCAGCCTGGATCGCGTACCCAGATGAGTCAGGGGTAGTTACACTGTCAGTAAGGGCACACACATCAGAAGACAGCAGATGTCTTCCTTAATTTTCATATGCAAATATTTACCTGCAGCCAAAGGATGTTGCCAGAGAGCGGAGGCATTATAACAGGAACGTGTGTGCTGTTAAACGGGGGGGAAAAAAGAAACATAATTCATTTGCTATGATTTGTTTCATTAAATGCCTTTCAAAACGGGAGACTGTTTTGCTTCTGCTAGCGAACAAGTGGGAAATGCTAAGGAGAGACTCACTCTATGGTTTCGGCTTATAGCTCTGACTTGGCTCTGTTGGTAGCGACCGGGATAAACCCAGGGTGAACCTCAGAGTGCTGGAGCCTCTGCGGGCAATCCATTACCTCTGTGCGCTGTGGGTAAACTGCACTTGTGGGCCATTATATCCTTGCTATGGCAGAAAACAGCAAACAAATGCCATGCGTTAGCTTTCCGGGGTCTGGAAAATGCAGATCAGCAGCAGCAAAAGGACTGAACTCTGGGAGAAGCCAGGGACTCTTGGATATATGATTTCCGTGTTAAATTGCAGCTTCCCCTCGCGCCTGCAGAGGCTGATGAAAATTTAATGCCTAATATTCTTAACAGTAGCGGAAGAAAATTATGTGTGATAGGAGTTGACTTTCTTCTCTCTTCATGTAATGATTTCTGTGCCCACTAAGAGGAAAGGAGAGAAGAGGCAGGGAGGGGAGTGGGGAAGAGGGAGGGAGCCAGTGACCCAGCTAAGTAACAGACACAATCCATCAATGTTTCTGCCCTTATGCTCTTCCCATTTGCCCCCAGATGGGACCTTCCTGACCTCATTCTGAATTCTTGAAGTCTCTTGTTAACTCAGGGAGGGCAGCCTGCAGGTCTGCACCATCCGTGCCCAGTGTAACTGACATCCTTTTCTCTGCTTCTAGGGGACACCTGGAAAGCCAGGACCACGGGGACAGCGAGGTCCAACGGTAATCCTCCTTGTGGCCTAGAGATGCTCTGTACAAACTGAGCATGTGTGGTGTGGATGTGTGGGCTCTGTGAGTCTGGGACCTCTGAGCTAACTGACTTTTCTTCTCTTTGCCCGTCTGCTCAGGGTCCGAGGGGTGAAAGAGGCCCACGGGGCATCACAGGGAAGCCTGGTCCTAAGGTACGTTCATGGTAGCTTTGCATTGTGGCCATCAGCCGTGGGTGGTCAGCGATCTTTATGTGTAACAATTTTCTTGACTATCATTAAAGGGGGCTCTGCCCTCTGGCAGCCTTCAGCACGCTTTGTGAATTGAACCACACTTTGTGAATTGAACCATGTAGTTCAGGGTAACCCTAGGGAGACCACAGACAGACAGAGCTAGGACAGCTCTCAGACATAGGAGCTTCAGACCCCAGGAAGACAGCCTTGCAGAAGCTGGTGGGGAAGCCTTCTTTCTTTTCTGGTAAGGGTGGCTGAGAACTGTAGAGGGCTTCGCTAGAAGGTTTCTTCTGGTGCAGGCAGGAGCTGAGCCTACCACTTCCCGGACTCCTCATGCCGAGAGTGGGGAAACCAGCTCCCTGTACGTAAATCTGGGGAAAAGCCAAGCATGGTGTGTTGCCCAGTTCTAACCAGTAAAAATCCAGACTCAGGGACTGAAAAGATAGTGTTTGAGAGCAGCTGTTGCTCTTCCAGAGGACCGAGGTTTGGTTCCCAGCACCCACATGGTGGCACAAAACTATCTGGAACTATGGTTATGGGGCATCTGATGCCAGCTTTGCAGGCACCAGGCGTACAACTGATGCACAGACAGCATGCAGGCAAAATAGCATTGATACACATGAAAATATTTAAAAAAATAATCCCTGGGAGGGTCTTGCTGAGAGGAGGTTCCAGTTAGCAGAGAGTCAGAACTGACCCATCCCTCTGACCTATCCCCTCTTTTGAGCTCCTCTGTACTAAGTTTCAGGTACATCACACACACACACACACACACACACACACACACACCACACACACACTGGACTCACCTGTTCCTAAGGAGTTCCTCCACTCAGCTAGGTACATGGAATAGTCAGAAGCTGAGCCTTGTGTTCTTTCTATTCAGTCATTTTGATGTGTTCTTGGTGATGTGGTGTTCTTGGTTGATCACAGTCTGTGTCAGACTAGCCATGGGGGCCTGTTCCGGAAGTACCACCATCCTGCTCGTGCTGGCTTCCTATTGGCTGTGCGTGGAGGTGGGCTAGCATGGAACTGAGGCTCAATGCCACTACATACTGCTGTGTGCTGGACTTTAGAGGGGCCCTCGAAGAGCCTCTTGGCCATAGCAGTTATGGTGAGCTTTCCTCTCCTCTCTCAGGGCAACTCCGGAGGCGATGGCCCAGCTGGCCCTCCCGGTGAGCGGGTAAGAGTCTTTCAGGCCTGAGCTATGAGGGGATTTCCAGGGAGGAAACTGGCCCCAAACGTACTCCAGGCCCTTCACCTTGGGTGAGCCAGTACAGGAGGTTGACAGTGCCCTGCAGAGGAGCAGGGCTTGCTGAGACCCAAGGATAGCTCATATCCAGAAGTTTGCGTTCCTCGGGTAGAGACTTCATCCCACCCTCTGAACCTGGCCTTGGGGTGCTGGAGATGACTAAGACCACAAAAATTCTATCTTGGCCTCATACACAGCAAAGAGAACTGGTATTTCCATGTAACTTGTCCATTGGACATCTATCTATCTATCTATCTATCTATCTATCTATCTATCTATCTATCATCCATCTACCTACCTACCTTACCTATCTATCTTCTATTACCCATATATCATCCATCTAGTATCTAGTATCTATCTGTCTGTCTGTCTATCTACCTACCTACCTATCATCCATCTTAGCAATCTCATCTATTACCCATCTATCGTCTATCTAGTATCTGTCTGTCTATCTGCCTACCTATCATCTATTTTAGCAATCTACCATCTATTACCCATCTACTGTTTTCTATCTAGTATCTATCTGTCTGTGTCTGTCTGTCTACCTATCTGTCATCTATCTTAGCAATCTACTGTCTATTACCCATCTACTGTTTTCCATCTAGTATCTATCTGTCTGTCTGTCTATCTACCTACCCATCTATCATCTATCTTAGCAATCTACCGTCCATTACTCATCTACTGTCTTCTATCTAAGTTCTCTCTCCCTCTTCTCTCTCTAGAGTCAAGTGGGGAAAACGAGGTCAGGTTAAATAGGGAGAAGGTTTTAGAGGCACCCCAGTGCCACAGTGAGGAAAGAGTGGGGGTGCTAACAGGAAAAAAAATCTGTCCTCAAACTGGCCTTTCTCTGTTCCCAGGGACCTAACGGACCCCAAGGACCCACAGGCTTCCCCGGACCCAAGGGTCCCCCAGTAAGTACTGCTTTCTCCCATGGAGGTGGCAAGTCAGGTTTCCCTGACCCTGTTCTCCTCTCGCTAGGATATGGGGGAGGAGAAGGGTGCACTGGACCCCTGCCAGGTGGGCAGTAGAGACAACCTCCCAAGCCTGGCTGCTAAGGCAGCCTGTAGCCGTGCCCCACCCATTCAGACCTCCTGCTCTGGAAAGTGTTTAGTTCTAGATAGAATTTCCTTTCCATGAACCTCGCCTGCTGAGGCCCTTCCGCTGTGTGCACCTCCCATGCAGGTCCTGCTGTCATTGAGACCATCATGATGTTCTCACTGAGTTTGCATTAGTGTCTTGGGTGACCACACCAATGTAACAAACAAGATTTCTTAAAACAACTGAAAGGTCTTTTTGTCCATTCTTGAACCATGCCTGAAGCAAAAACTGGTTCCTCCCCAGGATCCAGGCAGGGCCGACAGCAGAAATCCACAGCAAGGGAAGGCCCACTCAGGGCCCACCTACTGCAAGGGAGGGCTCACAGAAGAGGAAAGTACAGGGTAGGAGGCATCCTACAACAAATGAGAATTCATGCTAGAGGTGGGCTCAAGCCAGAGAAGGCCCAGGGAAGGTGACAGTCCGTTCTGGGGGGAAGTCCGTGCCAGGGGAGGTTCATGCCTGTGCAGGATCCATTGTAGGGGAAGGTACAAGGCATGGGAGGTTCATGCCAGGAGAAGTCCATGCTAGGGAAATTCCACATCAGAGGAGGGACCATAGTCAGGGTCCACTGTAGGGGGAGGCTGGGAACATGGAAGGTCCGTGGGAGGAAAGGGTCTGAAACATAGGTCCACAGCAGGAGAAGGGCCTTGGCAGGAGGTGTTCATGGCAGGGAAAGTCTGTTCAGACCTCTCTCTGGGTTCTGGAGTTACTGTCCCTCCTCAGTTGTTTGTCAAGCTAGACAGATGAGATCTTAGGGTGTCTAGGCCACCTGCCTGCTCAAGCTTGGGAAGCTGACTGACCTCCCCTGTCTCTGTTGACCCCTTGGGACAGCTGTAAGGATTGTGGGGCAGATTCCTCCATGGCATCTAGTTCCATGATTACTGTCCCTGTAGCAGCTGGGTGATTCCCTTTCTCAAGAGCCACTAAAATGACAGTAACTTTTGTCACCTGCTTCTCTGAGCTGCTGAATGAGTTTTCCCTACTGTGATTCTTTCCTTAGGGCCCACCAGGCAAGGACGGGCTCCCTGGACATCCTGGGCAGAGAGGCGAGACCGTGAGTATTACAAGGCCTGGGAACACGGTAGTGCCTGGCCTTTCTGGCTGGGTCGCTCACAACCCTACATATAGCACACTGCTGACTGCCTGGTATAGCCAGGGGGTCCTATCCCGCTGGGAAAGACCAAAGGCCTTAACAAGGCTTCCTGTGGGCCAACAATCTGCTGTTGACTTAGGGTCAGGCTGTGGGGTAGGCAGGAGCCCCAGGGTGTCACAGTGGAAACTGGGCTGTGATTCTTTGCTTGTTTTAGTAGCTTTGGTCAAAGGCCATGTTTAAAGCCATCAGGACACAGTACGGTTGGCATCAGAAAACCTGTGTCTCCAATTTTTATTTCCCCAGGGTAACTGTGAATGCAGCCTTGCTGGGAAGACCACAAGCCTTATTGGGAAGAGTGCTTGGGCGTTTGGGGGACTCTGTCCCTGTGAATAGCTGATCATTTAGGCTACAGAACCCCATGGCAAGGGCCGCATCACATGGATCCCAATATTGTCCATCTGGGAGATTCCAGCTTGGGGAGCTGGTGGAAGGGAGCAAAAAGATGACTTTAGCCTCCCCTGTTGTGATAAAGAACCGTCTGTGCAGGAGAGATGGGATGGCTCAGTGCGTGAGGTGCCCAGTGGGGCACATATGGGTCTGAGCTCCCATCCTTAGCACTGACCTGAAAACTCAGCATGGAGGTGCAAGTCTGTAGCTCTGAGGCAGGAGAAGGGGAGACAAGAGGGTCCCTAGCACTGGCTGGCCAGCTAGTCTAGCCAATGGGTAGACTCCAGGTTCAGTAAGGGACCCCATCTCAGAAAGAGCACGTGCCTGCCTGTGACCTTGGTTGTACTTGTGACCCTGGGATTTCAGACTGGGAGCAACTGAGTCCTCTAAGTGCTGGTGACATCCTTGTTGCCACACTGAATTCCCTCTTTGTGTCCCCTGCCTCATCCACATTAAAGGGCAGTTTGTACCGGTATAAGCGTTTCTCACCGAGCAGAGTGGAGCCCATGGCACTGACCGGCTTCTGTGTCATTATATCCAGTTCATTGTGCCTGAAGGTTTCTGGGGGGCTCTCATGGCTGAAACTGACCCTCCTGACGTGGACCTTTGACCACCTCATCATATAGAGGCCTGGCACCTGCCTTAAGATGTTGTCCTCTCTGCCTTTCAGTGCACAGGGACGAGAAGCCTTTTAATTATGCCTTTGCCAGTGTTGGAGCAGCCTGTGCCGCCTGATAAATGAAGATTACCTTGCTCTTTTGTTTAGAGAGAAAAATTAAAGCATTTCTTCAGAGCTCTGCACATTTTCCTCTAATGCCTTTCCAAGGAGACAAGAGAAGAATTTTGCATACTGTGTGCTTTTCACCCTCAGACTCTTGCTGCAGATAATTAAACCTCCTGTCTTTGCTTGGGAAAGTGTAGTTTCCAGCATCTTCTATCATGCCGCAGCCACCTCTGTAGACATGGGGGGCACTTCGGCAATGCTGCTGACCATCCGAGACTTGTCCGGAGACCTCTGGAGTGTAGCCTTTCTTCTTTTCCCTCTCCTCGTCACCTCCTCTTTTTCTCCCTCTTCCTCTTGCCAGTGGACACAAGTGGCCATTACTTCTTAATGGGAACCCAAAGCCCATTTCTCAGCAAGGAGCAGTCTTCTCCTTGTCGGTCCTGCCTGGCCCTCGAGTGGCTGTGGACCTGGTGGGAGGTCTTGCTTGCCCTCTTCACAAACACTGCCATGAGCAGAGCTTTACTTTGGCTCCTACATCCTGTCAGCTTTCCCCCCTCATCTCCCCTTGTTTTTAGCTGTCAAATAGATGTGTCTCAGAAATGCCCGCTGCGTGAGCTGTGCTGGGCTGAGAGAGAAGAGCCCTCCGGGGACGACAGGGCAGAGTCTGATGTGGTTCATGTGGCCAGTGAATTGTGTGAGATATTAGACTGTCACCTGTTGGCCCTGAGCCATCTGCTCACCCTCCTGCCGTAGTAGTGACCTCTGCGCAACTAGAGCGTCCTTCTCAGGCCTTGGGTAGATCCATCCTTGCACACCTGGCAGCTGCAGGTGTATCTCATTGTGCCAACTCCGCTCTGCCATCAGGCCTCAAATCAAGCTTAGCTTGCTGCAGCTTCCTGCTCAATAGGAGAGATCAGGCAGCAGAGCCCAAGTAGGGGGCGAGCCTGGACCATTCTAGGCATGAGCATTTAGATCCTCAAGGAGACAGTATCTATGAAGTGACTTTAAACTAACATATTTGAGCAGACCGCTTCAGAGAACAGCCAGGCCTGGCTCCTGCCTGTCCTAAATATGAAGAGACACAGGCGGGCGAGTCACCTGCTGTGCGTCAGAGGCGTCAGATAACAAGGGCTAAACCGTCCTACAAAGTTGCTAATGAGCACCAGAACAGAGATGGCTCTCGTGTGTCCTCAGAAAATGAACACGCAGGGACATGAGGGAGAATAACAGGCTCAAAATCGGTTTCTCGCCACAAAGACGCAGTGTGGAGCTCACCCACCTGACTTCAGTAGTCTCATGAAATTAGTATGGAAAGGGTGCATAAGACATGACTGTAAGCTGAGGGTGGAGCACAGCCACCCGGGATAGGTGTGGGATGGGCTTCTGAGGAGACTACAGCAGTGTGGTGTGTGCTGCCGCAGTGGCCCTCAGGTTGCTGACTCTCTCCACAGGGTTTCCAAGGCAAGACTGGCCCTCCAGGCCCCCCGGGAGTGGTTGGCCCTCAGGTGAGACCTTGCAGCATCCTGGGGCCGGGGTTCAGGGCTCTGGTCAGTTTTTTCCAGTTCTAGGGGGGTGGACCCCGCTAGTGGAGAGGCTTAAGTCCCATGGAAAGTTTGTGCTAGCTGCAGGCGATGACCCCCTGGAGGGGCTGTGCTGAGAGAAAGCAGGCAGCAGAGCTCAGGTGACCCCAGGCCAGACAGGGCCAGGCTCTGGAGTCAGAACTACCCCCATGAGCACAGGGACCGATGGTGTCTTCTTGTCTTCTTGCGGACAGCAGAGGCACCTGATTCCAACCAATATGGCTCAATGAAGGGCACAGGTTCCAGCTAGGGCTGATGACTTTAGATCCAAGGGCAGTATTGTACCTGCCACCTTGCTACTTAGAAAGTCACATCTGACATAATGAGAAGAGACTGGCACCTGGTGTCACCCCAGAATTGGAGCCCCTGAGGCCTTCTTCCTCCTGTGGCAAATATGGCAGCCCTTGACATCTTTCTGATGACATCCCAGAAACAGCCCCTAGAGAGGCGTGGGCGCAGGGGGACACCAGCCATGGCTAACTCTCCACTGGCTTCATCTTTTCCTCCTGGCATTTGGAAGGCAGGAGGAGCCTTGTGGGAGAATGGAGAGAAGTGGGAGGCCCGCTGTGAATGCTATGTCACCATACTCAGGTTGTCCCTAGGCTCGGAAAGAAGAGATTATCTCCTTACAGGTCACTCACTCAAAACCAACACGGTCTCTCTCTGTAGGGTCCCACAGGAGAAACAGGTCCAATGGGCGAGCGTGGCCACCCTGGCCCTCCAGGGCCCCCTGGTGAACAGGGCCTCCCAGGCGCTGCTGGAAAAGAGGGGACAAAGGTGAGTGTCCGGAAGCTTCCGTGTCAGAAGAACCTTTTTTTCCAGGGAATCAGTTAAAACTTTGCTTTTACTCTTGATCTTTCTGCACAAATGGGTAATTTATCAAGCAAATGCTTCTCTGAAACCCACACGTTCAGATCCATTTTGCTTGAAC